GACTAATTGTTAAAGAATGCTGAACAAACAAAATGTCAATGAAAAATTGAGGGCAGTGAGTAACAACTTGCGTCAGTGTGTGAAGAAAATCTTACTTCAAAAATCAAATTTTTAGAACGAGGTCAGCTTAAACGTGACTTGATCAAACTAATATGAAAGAGATCAGCAAGGGTTGTGGTGGAGTGTTAAATACTCCTTTATCTTTAACATGAGGTTTCAAATTCGAGCTCAAGGTATATATGGAGTCACATTTGTTAAGGAGCGTCCGGCGCGAATCCGGATTTAGAGCCCATTTGGACATAAAACTTGGTTGAAAATTTTTCCAAAAAAAATTCACTTTTTTCGAAATCAGCGTTTGTTCATAAAATTTTCAATTTTCACTTGAAAATGCATTTTAAAAATTTTCGAAAATTTAAAAAACTGCAAAAAACTGTTTTTCAAAATTTTCACTCAAATCACTCACAAAACTTCAAAAACAACCCAAACTGAAATTTATGTCCAAACACAACTCTAAACTTCAAATAACATTTTCACTTGAAATTTTTTTTTATCATTTTTTCGAATTTTACAATTCTTATGTCCAGACGCCTACTTAGTCGGACCCAATACGAGTATTAGACATCGTATGGGAAACCAAAAAAAAACTAATGTGAAAGAGGGCTATAAACTCTTTGACTTAGAAACAACTTTGACAACGTGAAACATGCATGTAAGGTCAAAATTGTTACAGAACTTTTTTGTACTAGTGAAATTCATGAATCATTTGTTTTGTAATATGTGAGATACTGATATTTTTAGGATTAAACTTTTTCTGCTGTTTTTAACTTCGAACTCGTGATATGCACTTAGCTACCAGCTACCACATATTTCACAATATATGTACAATCTTCGCCGTTGAACCAAAACTCTGGGGAAGGACTATATATACATTATGCACTATAGCTAGAAAAGCTGTATATTTAAGTTATATTGAATGAATATACTAGATACTTTTAAGACACTTGATCTTAGCTAAAAGGCCGAGAAAGATATGATACTTTTGAGACATGCCTGGTAGAAGAAATGGGTAAGCAAACAAGATCCAGATATAGATAGAAAAAGAAAGTAAATAAAGTAAATTTAGAATAGGAAAATGATAGCTATTCATGACCGTTAATTCATGCTTTTATTTTTTAAAAATTCACGCTTCTAATTTCCAAAGAGACGTAAAAATTAACGAAACATCATTAAAACAGATTAAAATCAAGTTTTAACGTTCTCATGTAGCTTTATAGTAAGGGACGACTCAATATTCCTCTGTTCTTTTTTATATGACACTATTTATTCCTTAATAATCCGTTTTATAAAAGAATATCATATTTTATATTTAAAAGTAATTTAATTTTAGATTATCTATTTTATATGACATTATTTGGATGTCGTTTGGATTTCGATTGTTTGGGTGGCATTCGTGCCACTATCATACTCAGATTGTCTTACTCTGAGTCTCGTCCTTGATCTTGACATAAAACATCAATTCCTCTTTATGTTAGGCCGTTTTGTGTAAATGATATTATAATAATAATAATAATAATAATAATAATAATTATTATTATTATTATTATTATTATTGAAAAAGACATATTTATAAATCAACTAACCGTGATAAAAGGTGAACCTTCTCCTCAATACCTGATTTGAAGGATCATTAATATAGTAGACATATACATACGAAGGTGAAAAAATAAAACGTAGTAGAACAGTAGTAGCATTATAAGTTAGAACCGAATTTAGACAAATGTTTACCCTAAAAAACGGATAACAATTAATTTTGTAAGTAATTTTAAGGATACATGGGTTAATTCAATACAAATGATAAACTGTATTAGATTAAACAGATAAGGGACGTAATAAATTGTCAAACCAATCAAGAGGAGTGATCCCGGACTTAGTAACAGCTTAATGAAATGCCTGCCTTCGATCCCTGGCTCACGTTATTGATGAATTGATGAACAAAAATAAGAGCTTTGAATAACAGAGAAAATAAGAATATATTGTCTTGATATGCGTGTTACAATGTACCTAATGAATACGTAAGTGTAATTCCACAAAAGGTAAAAATCTCCCGTTTAACTAATCATCGGTTTCCTGCCGATACGTGTCGAGATTCACGCCGTGACATCCGGCTGGTCACGTATATCACAGCCTTTTGTTGGTCATGCTCGATTATCTAGTAATGCCCTCCGAGATTTTTGGGATTCGAACCGATCCTGGGGTCGTGGCCTCGATACTCCTGAGGGCAGACGTTTTTCCCGGACCCCGGCTCGAGGGGCTCCTTGCCTCGATCTCGGTCCCTTACACTCACGTCTCTTCCTCCGTTTACTTCATCAAAAATCGAAGTGTCCCATGGGCTCGGTTTCACCCATATACAGATAGTCCCCTTGTTTCTTGGAGAGTAAGTTTACAGAAACGACGAGAAATGATATGTGCACTTCGATTCCTTCTTCAATACGCCGTGATAAAAATGACAAAGAATCTGAAAAGTCTCGTCAGTCGCATCATTATGACTTTAAATGCGTGTCAGCCATCGGCGGGTCATCCCTGGATATGAAACGACGCGAAGCCTCTATAAATACTCCCTTCCTTCGTTAACTTTTTACCTTTTGATCAAGCTTCTACCTTCAAGTCTTTAGGATATTACTGCCCTTCTTCATACTCTAATATTTTACCTCCGTTCTTCGAGATTCCTCAGTAAATTGCAAGCTTCTACCTAATTTCTATCCAAACCAGCGCACTTGACTTTCTCAGTAAAGCTTTTACCTTTCATCTCCCAACCTTTCTTTATTTTTTTCAAACTTTTTCTAGATATCAATGGCTAAAACTTCCAAAACTGTTCCCCAAAAAGTTGCTTCCTCTTCTTCACAGCCAACTGCCGAAGTCAAGGAAACCACTCCCGATGTGGTCGTCCTCGAGAGAACGGGCGCGGCTATCGATGAACCAGCTCCCGAACCTCCCTTAAAAATGTTCGTCCCCGGGGGTGCTCGATCGCGGATGATTTTAAGGTCGAAAACCCCTCGTTGGTGCAGGGCCGGTGTGAGGCGGTATCTAGGAACATATGCTTCATCACCGAAGAGGTCTTTACTGCGGTTCAAAAGGACTGTGACTGGGAGGATAAGGACATAGTAATCCCCGGGCCCGAGGACACCATTACTACTCATGTGGAGGGGCATATGAGTGTTTACACTTATCCCGTCACACTGGGCCCGGTAGACCCGGTTATTCTGGACTTTTGTAATAGGTATGAAGTATGTCTCGGTCAGATCCACCCGTTGGTATGGAGGATCGTAATCCTCCTTCGATACTTCGTGAACAAAATCGACTCTTGTCGGTTCACCATAGATCATCTACTATGTCTGTAAGGTCCCTGAATCTTCCGAGGGGGACTGATAAAGCTCATACGCCGGGCTAGCAAAGCCCCATTCTCAAGCATTAATGAGAATCGGGATCGGGGCTGGCAGGGACGTTTTGTCCAGGTGAGGACCGCAAACTTGATCCCTGCCGAGTTTAGGCCATTCCCCCAGAAGTGAAATGTATCACGTAAGCATAACTTTCCTTTAAATGTTGATTTTACATTCATCTCCTTTTTCCTCACTAGTATTTACGGTGGTGCAGTTGTTGCTCGAGTCTCAAACGCCATTCCTCGGCTCAAGGAGTGGATCGAGGGCATTTGTTCGCAGATGCCTTATTCTGAGCACACATGGCGCGAACTCTCGAAGGGCCGTTGGGAGGCTCTTTCTCACGGTAAGATCTCTTTTCCAAATAAGTAACATTAGGCCCCTTCTTTCAGCACCATATTCTCATTCCCTCTCTTTTCTTTTCGCAGGCTGGCCTAAGACCATTGATCTTGGGCCTTTAGTAGGGGACGAGGACCTGTCCATTGATCCCTCCACTTCGGGGCAGCTAAGGGACGTAGCAGGAGAGAAGAAGAAAAGGAAGGCTCCGAGTTCCCCGAGCTCAGAGAAGAAGAAGCCAAGAAGAAGGTTGGCACGTAAGCCAAAGGAGAGTTCTAGCTCCCGAGTACCCGACTCGAACTTGCTTTTCCAGCTCAGGGACGAGCTCGAGGAAGGTGATATTTTTGTGTCCTGTGAGCCGACCTCGCCCGAAGAGCGGGCGACAGCCGAAGAGGAAACAACGGGGGCTGATCCCCCTCAGGTTCGGGAAACTGATGTAGAGATGAGGGCTGAGACCTCTTGAGACGTCGGCTTCGGTATGCCCGTTGTCATAGATATTCCAGGGTCACCTTCATTCACCGAATCTATGTTTGACGAAGCCCGAGTGGTGAAGGAGCGATCCAACGAAGGGGCCCATGGAGCGGACGATCCCCTTCATTCTTTTTTTGAAGGTGTGGATTCGACCGCTCTGGAAGACTTCTCCGGGTTGGGAGACTTGGATGTGTCGAGGAAAGACCCATCTTCAGAGGTTGGCAGGCTGAACTCGAGCCCAAAATTAATCAACCAGTTACTCACAACGAGCATTGATCCCGACCGTAAGAGGTCAATAATCATCATCGTCCTGGAGGATTCTCAAGTTCTTTCTGCCCCCGTTGGAGTGGCGAGCTACATCCGATGCCTGGTAACCGAAGAAGACCAGGCAAAAATGAATGAGATGGATGTGCCATGCTTGTTAAACGAAACGTAACAGGCGTTGAACCGGGTGAGGCATCATTACGTTCTTCCATCTTCTGACTTAGTTTTTTGATATTTCTCACGTCTTCTCTCTTTTATCTTTTTGTAGGTCTCAGTACTCCATCACGAAAGTTTTCTCCGATACCGGACTGAGGTTAATCAATTCGAGGCTGAGTCTAGGGATCTCACCGAGAAGAGGGACACGTATTAGCTTCTCAGTGAGTAACACAAAGAAGTTGTCAAGAGTCTCTGGGCCAAGTTGATGCGGCTCAGAAGGAGTATACTGACCTAGTGGAACAGGTAAAGAATTTTGAATTTAGCGATGACGACTAATCCATGGCGACTAACGATCAAACCTCGCAGGTCCAACAGAAGGTTGACCGGATCGACCATCTCCGAGCTGAATTAATGAACGAAGTCCAGGCCATGGACGATGTCTGGAAGGAAAAAATGGACCGACTAGCTTTGGAGATAGAGACTGCCCGGAAGCAGCTGACATCGGTAGAGGTCCAACTCCGAGTGGCAAAAGAGAAAGCAGATGCACGGGCTCGACAAAATGAGGACCTCCAAGCTCAACTAGGCTCGGCTATTGCTAAACAAAATTCCCTTGTTAAGGAGCTTAAAATAGCAAGGTCCGAGTTGGAGATAACCAAGGCCGATGCTGAAGAGATGGTGGCCCAGTATAGGGATAATATTGAGGCAGCCGAGGCCCGTCTGAAAGTCACTGTTGAGCATGTGAAGCGGTTGTCTCGAAGGGAGACCCTCAAGGAGATCCATGCCCGAGGTTTTGACTTATCAGCCGAGATCGAAGAGTCGAAAAGGCTCGAGGTCGAGGCTAAGAAGCTGGCTGAACACGAGGGTGAAGAAGGCTCTGAGGGCTCCGAGGATGGAGAAGACCCCGACGACTCTGGTGATGAGGCGGGTTCTGGTGAAGATCAGGCGTAGGTGCCTTGGGATTTTTTGTCTGTATTTTGTACTTTTATTCTGTTGAGGCCGTTTTCATTGGCCTTTGTAAAGACATTTTGGAATGTATATATAAGGTTATTTTTCCTCTTGGCAATTTTCAAGTCTATTACCTTCAGCATTCCTTTTACAATTGCAAAGATTTCAAATGCCTTAGCATGGAATAAAACGTAGTAATAAGTTGTTGTTCGGAGGTCCGAACAAGACTTGTTTTTTATGTAAGTTTCATTTGAAACTTGCGAGAGCTCGATATGACCGAAAGCTTTCCCCAAAGTGTTTCTTTAGATGTTTTTAGACTATAATTTTGCCGAGGGTAACCTTTGAATCGGTTTGGAATTTTGAAGGCCTTATGTTTTGATTACCAGCTTCGGACGTCTCCAAGCCATTTTTAGGGTGGTCGTAGCCTTTTCAGTTCAGGCACTGCTTAATAGGCTTTATACCTTCGGGCTTTGATAGACCGAGCCATACGAGCTTGCCTTGGATGACATTCCCTGAGTAGGGGTGGCCGTAGCCTTTTAAGTTTAGGCACTGCCTAATAGGCTTTGTACCTTCGGGCTTCGATAGCCTGAGCCATCCGAGTTTGTCTTAGACAACAGTCTCCGAGTGGGGGTGATCTATTGGATCTGGATAGAGGCAACCCTTGGGCTCGATATCCTTAAGTAACAAAATGTAATAGTCTTAAGGGACATAATATGTATATGTAAGGTAGAAGTTTTCTTTCATTCATATGCGTAATATACAAAATTGTAAGTGTGTACAAGCTTCGTGTTATGGATTAGGTGGTCTATGCGGGCACGGTTCATTTGACCGTTTGACCCTTATAATAAATCCTATCCACCAAGCCTAGACTATTCAAGCACAAAGTTTCCTTCCTTGCTAAAAATCATTACCCGAGGGTGATGCCCCCCAGTATTCGAGGTCGATCATCGAGAGGGATCAGATACTGTTTATGTGACCATCGACTCCGGTTCATAACCGATCTTGGATTCTAGGTTAGCATGATCCACTGTTGCCTCGTTAAATACCTTACCAAAAAACCTATTTGGGACAAAACCGGTTCAAGGGAAAAAGAGTGCGACGCATGCTTTCAGGCTTAACAACTACATCATCCTTTGGCTGTTTCCTACAAGTGTTAGTCGTATTCGCAATATATGTAAAAAAAAAAAGGATGAATGGGGTTGCACCTTAGTAGTAATATCTTTTTAAGTGGGTTACGTTCCATTTGTTCGATAACTTCTCACCGTTCTCTGCTTCAAGTTTGTACGAACCTTTACCGGTAATCTCAATAATTCGATATGGGCCTTCCCAATTCGGTCCGAGCTTCCCTTCGTTCGGGTTCTGGGTGTTTAGTGTCAGCTTTCTTAACACCAAGTTCCCGATATTAAAGTGTTAGAGGTTGGCTCTCCGGTTATAATACCTTTCGATCCGTTGTTTCTGGGCAGCCAACCGGATGAGGGCGACCTCATGCCTCTCATCCAATAGTTCCAGGATTGTGCGCATGGTCTAACCGTTTAAATCTTTGGTCGTATATCGGCACCTAAAACTCCTTTCTCCGACCTCGACCGGTATTAGTGCTTCAGCACCATAGACCAACAAAAATAGGGTGGCCCCAGTACTAGACTTTGAGGTCGTACGGTATGCCCATAGGAGTTCGGGCAAAATTTCCTTCTATTTTCCTTTGGCGTAGGTCAATATCTTCTTAAGGTTTTAGAGTATGGTCTTATTTGTAGACTCCGCCTGCCCGTTCCTACTAGGGTGATATGGTGTTGACAAGATCCTTTTGATTTTATGGTCCTTGAAATATTTGCTTACCTCACTACCGATGAACTGCTTCCCGTTGTCACATACGATCTTATGGTCCTCGATCTTATGTGGTCCCAAATAAAATCAATGACTTCTTTTTCTATAACTTTCTCAAATGCCTGAGCTTCAACCCATTTAGAAAAATAGTCAGTCATAAATAATATAAATTGAGCCTTACCGGGTGCCCATGGCAGGGGACCGACGATGTCCATTCCTCATTTCATGAATGACCAAGGTGACAAGACCAAAAGCAGTAGCTCCCCGGGCTGTTGGATCATCGGTGCGTGCCTTTGAAAAACATCACATTTTTGTACGAACCCCTTCGCATCTTTCTACATGTCGATCGAGTAATAACCGACTCTGATTATCTTACGAACCAACGATTCGGTCCCCGAATGTTTCCCACGGGTGCCTTCGTGAACTTCCCTCAAAATGTATTCAGTGTCTCCCGGTCCCAGACATATGGTAAGTGGGCCATCGAACATTCTTCTGAATAGGGTGTTATCCTTGGACATGCTGAACCTTGCCGCCTTCGAGCGCAGAGCTCTCGATTCTTTAGGATCCAAGGGCAGCTTCCCGGTCTTCAAATAATCTATATACTTGTTTCTCCAGTCCCAGGTTAAGCTTGTCGAGTTTATCTCGGTGTGTCCTTCTTCTACTACTGATTTCATGAGTTGTACAACCGTTCACGAGCTGAATTCATCATCATCAACCGACGACCCCAAGTTAGCTAGAGCATCAACTTTGCTGTTTTGATCCCGGGGTACGTGTTGCAGGGTCCACTCCTTGAATCGATGTAGTGTTACCTGTAGTTTATCCAGGTATCTTCGCATTCGTTCCTCTTTCACTTCGAACGTCCCATTGACTTAATTCACCACAAGGAGGGAATCGCATTTAGCTTCGATCACCTCGGCCCTCAGGCTTTTAGCCAGTTCGAGACCTGCAATCATAGCCTCATACTTGGCCTCATTGTTAGTCAATTTCACAGTTCTAATAGATTGTCTAACTACATTACTCATGGGCGGCTTCAACACGATGCCGAGTCTGGACCACTTTGCGTTCGAAGCACCATCCGTAAAGAGGGTCCAGATCCCCGAGGAGGTCCTCGAGGTTAACAACAATTCCTTTTCAACTTCGGGTATTGAGGCCGGCATGAAATCGGCCACGAAGTCTGCCAAATATTGAGATTTGATTGCGGTTCGGGGTCGATATTCAATATCGTACCCACTAATTTCCACGGCCCATTTGGCCAATCGTCCCGAGAGCTCGGGTTTGTGCATTATGTTGCTCAATGTATAAGTAGTCACGACACATATGGTATGGCATTGAAAATATAGCCTTAACTTCCTAGAGGAGCTTAGCAAAGCGAGCACCAATTTCTTTAGGTGAGGATACCTTGTTTTGGCCTCGCCTAGAGTCCCGCTAACATAATATATAGGGAATTACGTACCTTCTTCTTTCCGAACTAAGACTCCACTTACCGCTATCTCGGATACCGCTAAGTACAGGTACAACTGCTCGTTTGCCTTCGGAGTATGAAGTAAAAGCGGACACGAAAGGTACCGTTTGAGTTCTTCCAAAGCTTGCTGGCGCTCCGGGTCCACGAGAAGTTATTCTTCTTCTTCAATAATGAGAAGAACCAATGGCTCTTATCAGAGGACCTTGAAATGAATCGACCCAAGGCGGCTATGCGCCCGTTTAGTCTTTGAACGACCTTGACATTGTCCACCACAATGATGTCTTCTATGGCCTTGATCTTGTCGGGATTGATCTCGATTCCCTGGTTGGACACCATGAATCCAAGGAACTTCCCGGACCCGACTCCCAATGCGTATTTCTCTGGGTTCAGCTTCATATTGTATTTCTTCAGTACGTTAAAGCTTTCCGGCAAATGTTTCAAATGGTCCTCTGCTCGCAGGGACTTAACTAACATGTCGTCAATGTAAACCTCTATTGATTTTCCTATTTTCTCTTCAAACATCCAATTTACTAGGCGTTGGTAAGTGGCACTAGCACTTTTTAGTCCGAATGGCATTACGTTATAATAATAGGTATCGTATTTAGTGATGAAGGATATCTTTTCCTGGTTGCCCGGATCCATCCAGATCTGCTTGTACCGAAATAGACGTCGAGAAAGCTGAGTATCTCATGGCCGACCGTCGCATCGATCATGCGATCGATGTTAGGCAAAGGAAAAGAGTCCTTAGGGCATGCCTTGTTCAAGTCTTTGTAGTCTACATACATTCTTAATTTATTTTTATTTTTAGGGACTACCAATTACGTTTGCTAACCAGTCCGGGTACTTAACTTCCCGAATAAAACCTATTTTAAGGAGTTTAGATACCTCGTCTTTGATGAATGCGTGCTTGACTTCGGATTGAGGCCTCCTCTTTTGTTTAACCGGGTGAAACTTCGGATCTAAGCTCAACTTGTGAGTAGTTATTCTCGGCGGGATCCCTGTCATGTCAAGATGGTACCAAGCAAAACAATCAATATTAGCTATAATAAATTCAATGAGTTTTTTCCTGAGCTCGGGAGTAAGCCCCGTGCCCATTTATATCTTCCGATCGGGCAGGTGCTCTATCAATATGAGTTGCTCCAGCTCCTTAACTGTCAACTTGGTGGCATCAGAATCGTTAGGGGCTATGAAATACCTGGGGACTCCGTAATCATCCTCCTCGTCCATCCTCTGCTTTTCTGGTTCGGTCGGGGACGATGTCAGTGATTACTATTTGGTTTCTTCCTTGGTGACCGAACTCGGATTCTTCGATGTTGAGAGTGCGGATATCAGGACCACCTCATCGACCGCGAATATCTCTTTTGCAGACGGTTGCTCTCTGTAAACTGTTTTGATCCCTCTCGGTGTGGGAAATTTCAACGCCTGATGTAGTGTCGAGGGTACTGCACTCATATTGTGAATCCAAGGCTTCCCGAACAAAGCATTGTATCTCATATCTTCTTCAATCACGTAGAACTTTGTTTCCTGGATGGTTCCGGCAGTGTTTACTGGTAGGATTATCTCCCTTTAGTGGTCTCACATGACATGTTAAACCCATTTAAAACTCGGACTGCAGGCACAATTTGATCTTGTAGACCCAGCTATTCCACGACCCTCGATCTGATGATATTGGCCGAGCTACCTGGATCAACTAACACATACTTAACTTGGGATTTATTTA